AATTTTCTTATACACATAGTAAAATTTACTATGTACATATTAATATTTTTATTGTGGTAAATATTAATCGGAGAAATTCTTATAAAATTCTTCCAATATCGTATTGTCCCACAATTAGCATGATTTTCAGGGTAAATTCTAAGAGAAAATTCTCTCCGTGCACTGTAAAAAAATTTGGTAAAATTACATTAAAAATATGTAAAATTACATAAATAATAAATGTAAAATTACATGATAAATAATGAAAAGGTAATCATTTCTATTATTTATCGTGTAATTTTACACTTATTATTTATGTAATTTTACATATTTTTGTGTAATATATTACATATTTTTTTACAGTGTGTGTAAAAAATGTAATTAATAACGCTCCAAATGTCATGTATTTTCCATCATAATAAAAGCTGGTATGAAAGTTATTATTCGTCCCAAGAGGCGCCTTACAGAGGCTCGCATAAAGTACATACCTTTCGCGCGATAAGCCAGTGCTGACTTTACGAGACCCAACATACGTATGTGCACATGCACACATATGTTTCGCATTGTCGCATTGGCGTGCACTCGCGAGACTTATCTACTGATTGCAGCTGCATATACGAGCAGCGATCTAGCCTGGCGCGGTTAATTGAATTTTCTTCTCGAGATCGTCGAGAACCGCGCGAAGCTAGAGCCGATGATGGAAAGACCTTTCACACAGTGAGGTCCCTTGTGTTCGCGACAAAACGCACGCGAATCGCGATAGCACGCGTGGCTGCAGCCGTGGAACTCCTCTCTCTCTCGTGTCGGCTCGAGACCAAAGTCATTCGCACAAACACGCCGCCGTTAGATGCGAGCAACGTTTTTCTACGACTGTCGGTCGGTTCTCGACCCCGGCGGAATCGATGGAAAAAAATTCGAGGAATCGAGCTCGGAGCGTCTTTGGGAAAGCCGCCGTTTACAAACAATCGGCAGATATATATACGAGAAAGGGAGAAAATCGATGAACTTTAATTCAATCTCTGTATTTCCGTATTACTTTTTTAAATCTATAACACTGTTCAAGAAAAAAATTAAGTTGGTTCTTATAGTTTTTGGATACTAAATACGAATCTGGTTTCCGAATTATTCCCTTAATTACTTCAGAATTTTGAGAAATTTTTAATCAAAGTTGCAAGAAAGTGGATAATAAAATATATCTAGAATAACTAGATAATTTAGTAAAAATAACACTTTTTTCATCTAAGATGCAGATATATTTTATATATGCTCGAAAAAAAAGTTTATCCACTTTTTTGCAATTTTGATTAAAAATTTCTCAAAATTGTGAAATGATGGAATAATTTGGAAACCAAATTCGTATTTAGCATCCTGGGAATATTCAGATAATTTGATTTAGAATTATAGTATATAAAAATACTTAAGTATAGTAGAACTTTGTTAAACAGTTAGCGATAAAAACTTATAAATAAAAATATGAATATATTTTTATATTCCTTATAATATAACCAAGTTCGTGAAAATAGTTCTCTTTTGCAACTTTAATTTTTCAAAATTGTTGTGGATGCAATTTGGAAACAGGATTCATATTCAACATCCAAAAACTATAAAAGACGATTAATTTTGTTCCAGTGCTCGAAAAAATCATTTTTTATTGAACAGAGTATAATTAAGAAACGATCGAGAAAAATTTAATTCATTAAAAATTTAATAGATATATTTTAGCTCTTGATCTGCCCATCGGAGTATTATTTTTGAAGACATCCCTTATTTTTGACACGCCTCCGAGATTGGCCTCGAATTACATGTATCGACCACCCCATCTTGCATCGTGGATGACCACCCAGGCGTCTAATCTCGAGCTCCTTTCGCTCTCGAAATCTATACCTTCCCTGAATACCTGCGGTCTGATCGGCAAGTGCTTCTTTCAGATGGTTTGATCATAACTCACCTTAAGAGAGACGCCACCATCGGAAAATAGGGATGGATAATATGAAAAAATAAATCGATATTTTAAAATCGATTAAAAGAAAAAAATTATGACAGTATCGATTATATTAATAAACAAAATTAAAAAATCGATTAATCGTTTTATACATACAATGTTTACAGAAGAGCCGAAACGCAGATTTTTGTATAAAACATCTTTTAGAAATTCTGAAAGAAATGAAAGACTCTGATTAGTTGAATCTCTTATCTCTTATGCATTATGCGTTATGCAAAAGTCTGTGCTCTAGCCCTTTCTGTCAATGTATGTAAAACATGTAATGTTATATATGATTATATAAAAATTTTATTTGGCGATATTAAATTTTAAAAAATTAAATATCTATTGATTAATCGAAAGAAAAATTAATCGATCGAAAATATCGATCACTTTAAAAAAAACTCGATTATTTCGATTAACATCGAGGAACATTGGCTATTCCGAAAAGTGCAGCATTGCTCGGAAAATTCGATCGTGGGACGTAGAACGTAACACGCACACACCGGAAGTTTCGTTGTTCTTCCGGTACAAGAATAAAAGTCACGATTGCATCTAGACTAGGCGCGAATGCAAACCCAAGAGTGCTCCGATCTAGATTGCGGAATATAATACCTACTCCGGGTCGCCATAAATATAGAACGCGCTTTCCACGAAGCGACAAATTTCTCAGTCCCGCTTGGTTATTGTTTTTCCTGACGATATGCAACGGGTTTATTAACCCTTTAGTGCCTGACGTGCCACATTCGGTTTACTTTAGATTATTCTTAAAACGCATCAATCTATAATTTAAGTTCTTTTATCGCGCCCGTTCAATTAATCAATCCCAAATAAGTTGTATAAAAAGTCCCGTTCTATGCCGTTCGAAATCGCCCGCCAGAAATCCAATATGGCGCAGCAGCATTTCTAAATCCGAAATCTAAGTCTCGGACTTAAAGGGTTAAAAGGAATCGGGGAAGCGCGCACATGCACATTTACACATATAAGCATTACCATTCGGTGAATCGAGCCGACTCCCACGTACGTTTCTTTCGCTTTTCCCTCGCCGGGAGACGTAAACCTAACCTCGACGCCCATGCAGCCGGGGCGATCACGTAGGACGCGCCTCTCTCGCGTTTTATTTTTTTTCTTCTCTTCTTTTCGAACCTGGCAGGTACAGGCGAGTATGTAAAATATCGTCGTGAGGAGGTAGAAACGAAGATTTGTTGGCCGAGCAGATAAGTCGCCATGAATGGCCCGATCGCTTGAATATATCAAATGACCTTGATTTAACCTTTATACGATCGACTTTGGGCGTGAAAATAATATTTCATTTTGCTTTCACGGAATTTCTAATTTTTCACGATTTTAGAAAAAAAAAAATAGTTGCAGACATCGCGGATGTTAAATCGCAATCGCGACATTCTCGGATCCTGGTGATTATATCTTAACGAGAAGCTAGCGCTAGTCGGGTAATAGCTTCTTACACATATGTCGCTTATATATACTTCGATTTCGAATCCTCGGAGTGTTTCTGCACAGGAGGAATAACTAATAAAATTGCCGGACGTGCTTATCCGTAACGACCGAGGGGTCTGTCGGATTCCTTCCCCACGTTATTGCAAGACTCGGCTATGCGATATATATATATATATATATATAGTGCAGCTCGCCTCTGTCTCTCAACAATGCAACGCGGAACTCGCCATGTGCATCACGTAACATCTGAATTCTAATTTATTTTTATAGTAAGAGCTATAAATAAAGAATCATGCACAAAGCGGATTATGCGCTTTCGATCATGCGAACACTTTCTCCTGTTTCTATATATCATTTAGGCTTTCTCCTTTTTCCTCTTCTTCGCGAATTATTTCGCGTAATCGCAATTCATAATAATTTGTATGTATGTATATATAAATGCAATTGATTTAATATACTAATATACAAAAATATCTTAGTATATAAAAAATTCAGAATCATAAATATCTGTACAATCGTATAATTTGATTTATTATTTATATTTATATTACAATATATTAATTATATTTTTTTATTATTTATATATATATAAATTTTGTAACATATCAATATTTTTCAATTTTGGCAGTATCAATTTGTAGTATTTCAAAATGAATATAAATATAAATATTATTAACACTATTATTAACACTAAATCCAATTATAACTACATTATATGATATTGATATTATATTTAAATTATATTTATATTTAGAGTTTATTTTTTATATTTAGAATATATTTAGAATTATATGTAGATTATTATTTAATTAATTATAAAATTGCAACTAAAAATCTTTCATAAGAACATTCAATTCATTACTTCTATTTATCTTTCTTCCTCATATTCCAGACAAACGTTTTATATTTTTACCACGATAAGGAAGAATTTTGGAGTTGAGAGCATTCCAAATAATTTGCATATATGCATACATAAATGCAATAGATATAATGTATCAAAAGAATTATCAAAAATATATGTACAATGGCACAATTTGATTTATCATTTTATATTATTTACATATATAAAAATCTTAAAATATAAATAAAAATATAAGTATAAATTAAAATATAAAAAATAAAAATGTCAATATTTTTCTATCTTATTAGTATTAATTTATAATCCTCCAAAATAAGCATAAATGCATCTAACAATTTGCCTATAAAATTATTATATATAAGTATACATATTTAGATTATTATAACAAATGCAATTAAGAAAATCCCGCACAAAGACATTCAATTTGCCATTCCAATATTCATCTTCCTGCTTCATATTCCAGGTGAACGACGTTTTACATTCTCGCCGCGACAAGGAAGAATCTGACTGAGAGCGCGGTCCATCTCCTCAAGAGCGGCTGGTTCCGTCATGGACGCAACATCCTTCCTCTTCGCGGAGAACAACGCGAGTATCGTCGTCACCCCCGCAGTTTCTCCACTCACACGTACGTACATCAACACGCGAAAGGCTCGGTCTCTCTCGTTCCCTCGTCCGTCCTCATCCGGCGCGGCTGGCTGGCTTACATGTTGGCTTCCCTCACTGGCGTCTTCTCGCCAGTCGCGACAGACCGCTCGCGGAGCGCGCATCGCGAACGGTGCAGCGCGCGTTTCGAGCAAATCTACTCCGGAATTCTCCGTTCGTAACACTCGATGACTCTTCGAATAACGACGTTTCGCGTGAGATGTGCAAAGCGATTTGCGCGAAGCTGAATGTCATCGCGCGAAATACGCCTCTCGTACTCGTCGGGATTGTGAATGACCGGTGGTGAAATCGTTGGTGTGTTGTTGTTGTGACTGTCGCGCGTAAAATTGAAGAAAAAATAGTGAACACTCTTGATGTCGTATGCTAGTCGATTTTGAATCTTTACCGCGGGTCGACGCGCGGATTTTTTTGCGAGTGCGCAGGACGCTGAGCTCAGCAAATTCAGTAAAAGTAAGTATACAGTTCGTAGAAAGTGTAACGAAATTTGTATCTGATTGTATTTGATTTACGAATCAATTTGCTTTTCTTTTATTGAAAAATTAGAAGGGTTTATGTATACATATATATAAACATTCTTTCCTGTCAAAGCGCTCGTATTCTTCGAATGCACATGACATAACACATCGATCTATTGATGATGCATCCCGGAAAGAATTAATCCCTATTACAATTACATTCTTATACACAATTGAGACATTACACATAGTGTATAATGATAAAATTTATCTAATATTGATTCAGAAACTGACAAGTAACAAATTCAACTTCTGGATTTTAATTTGTAAAATTAATATTTTCACTATTTATTGACACATTTTTTAAATAAAAATATTTGATAATTTTATAGCAATATTAATAGTGAATCTCAAATGATTAGAATGAAGTCGCCAGTGATGAATAAATTTCAAAGTGATTTATTAAAATCCGACCTGAGTGGCCAATATAGAAAATGTTGAACACAGCGGGTTTTTATCAAAAAATTTAACAGCAATATTAATTTGCAAAAGGACACAGAAAATCTAAATTCAATATATGACTCACTAATACATAGCGTATGACTTGTTTGTTTGTTTTTCTAAAAGTTCTTATGATTTTCTTTTTAATGTTTGTTTTATTTACACGCCGAACTTGCTAATATAAAACATTGTTTTCGGTTTTTGACCTTGTTATCACGTTTTTCGCTTTAACATCTTGAAAGATAACGTTTAATTCGTGGTTATTATATGTAACGAGAAAGTTTTTATCTCGATTTAATCTTGTTTTATTCCGCAATTTCAATGTTCGTTATTTTTGTTTTTCTAATTCTTTATCATTGTCTATTTTTTAATTTTATAGCAACACTTGATAAGGGCCTGTACCCTGGGACCGAAACGTTGTGTTCAACATGTTTGGTATTGGCCAGTCAGGTCGGATTTTAATAAATCACTTTGAAAATTAATAATGAAAATTAAGAATTTTTTTTTGAAGATTTAGTCGCGTCATTTCGTTAGTAAGAATAAATTTATATATTTTGCATGAATATCTGAAAGCTTCTAGCTTTTGCACCTGCAACGAGTTTCTAGTATTCACCTATAGTGGGATTTTTCCTCGCTTTCGAAAAAATAGTCGGGGGCGTTAACGTCGAATTGAATATTGCAACCGTCTGGTTTCACTTCGACACTCAAATTACACGGACGCGTTTGAAACGCAATCATTTGCTACTGTTCGGTTTTTCTTTTCGAGCGAGCTCCTCGCCACTTTCTACATTTGTTCATTGGAATCGCAGATGTTGGAGATACACTATTTATTATCGAAAGGTTTTGCCGGATCAATTACAGTTTTTCTACTTTACTTACTCTTCCTCTCTTTCCTCTTACTTGCGAGAGGAAAACCTACAAAGAGGTGGATTGAAACGTTATGCGACTTTCAGCAAAACGCTGTTACGCGAGTGCATTGCCGGAAATCCACGCTAAAGTGAAACTCACAATGGACAATTTCACTCTTGTCTTTTTTCACGCAAACACGCTTTTTAAAGTTGGCCTAAATTTAAATTTACAGTAGAAAATCACTATTGTCACTGCGATTTTTTTACATTGTGAATCACTATTATTTTTGAGAGATTTCTGTTTAATTTCAATATAAATCAGCTGATCCAAATTATGAATAAAAATTGAAAAATATATCTACAAATTGATAGGTGAGAACAAATAAATAATCGATCAAACTAATAAAATTAAATAGTTATATAAGTCTCTTCGCAGTTTAGCGATTTAATGGTAAATTATCCATGGATTCTGATTTCAGATGAATCTCTACAGCTTAATATTATTTTTGAGAGATTTCTGTTCAATTTTCATTTAAATAAATCAGCTGATCCAAATTACGAATAAAAAATTAAAAATATATCTGCAGATAAATTGATTCTTGATACGTGAGAACAAATAATCGATCGAATTTTTAAAAATTATAGTTATACAGGGTATTCAGAACTGGCGGAAGATTCCTGGTATCACTTGAAGACGATTTTTCCTCAGCAAAAATATCGAGGAATTGATAATTTTCGAGTTATAAGCGGATGAAAATAAAAACTTTTTTGCAAACTAAGCCTTGTGAAAATAAAAATTAACAAAATCACATTCTTCAGTTAAATTCAGATAGAATTTACTTTAACAGAATTTTAATTTAAGGCTTAGTTACAAGGACATATGATATGTCAAAAATTGGGTAAAAATGATGGTCCTCTCTCGACATTTTCTGAGGAAGAGTCGTCTCGAAATGATTCCAGGATCTTAAAACCATGAAAAATTTTTCCGCCAGTTCTGAACCACCTGTATAAGTTTCTCCGCAGTTCAGCGATTTAATGGCAAATTATCCATGGATTCCAGATAAGAAGAAGGAGGAATGTTGAAACACGTGTCGGTCTCGCCGTGGAGAGGACGGGCAGACAGCGTGAGTCTCTCGTCCAGCGGCGGCGCGAGTAGCTGCGGAAGCGGAAGTCCCACTCCCGGTCACACACCACCGCCCTCGAGAGCATCCTCATGCGCCTCCCTGGTACCCCTAACAGCCCTGTCGAGCTTCTCCCGGCTGACGCCGCGCCCCAACAGGTGAGTGCTTCGTGATTAGTTTCCCACAGTCGTCTACAAAATTCTTTCCGTTTTAATGACGAACGCTTCCGCGTAAAATCCCTAATTAATTTCGGAAACCGGAACCAGAAGATCCCATCAGATTCCCAGCATCTTACTCTATGAAGGAAATTGATGTTTTATTTATTTTTTTAATTTTAAATTATTTTGTGTTATTTTTTATTAAAGTCTTAAGATAGATTTGTAATAAAACATTAATCAAAATATTTTATGATTATAAAATATATTTACTATAATATTTTATTTAATAATTATTTCTATTTAATTTTAAACTATTTCTTTAATAATTATTTAATTATTATTTTTTAATTGTAGAAAATTATGATTTAGAAGATACGATATTTTGTTGATTATAAAGAAAAATAAAATTAAGGATTAAATATGTAATAAAATTCATTAGATGCCGTACTGTAATTTAGCATTGCTTGATGCACGTTATACGAAGATTATTTGAGTATACTTTTTACATTTAATGGTTCAAACTCTAATTCATATATAATGTGATATAATAATGAACGCATGAGAAAGACGGACGGTTTTGTATTGTCCGCGGGAGACGATTAAGAACAACGCGGGAGATTGCAAAAAGTGACGATGCTCTACGTTTAATAAAGCAAAGTAGAATAAAAAACGCTTTGCACACAGCAGTTTGCTGAGTGACGTAAAGCGATTTAGCGAAAACGAGAGCAACACGTTTTCCGAGCGTTATTAACAGCTGCACCACGTGTGTTGTGTGTATTTACAGGACGGCATCTGATGAATTGTATTTAATCCATGATTTTATTTTTTTTTATATCGTATCTTCTAAATTATAATTTTCTACGATTATATAAAATAATCATTAAATAATTATTTAAGAAAATAGTTTAAAATTAAATAAAAATAATTATTAAATTTTATTTTGTAATTATGAAATATTTTGATTAATATGTCATTGCGAATCTATTCAAGATTTCAATAAAAAATTGCACAAAATAATTTAAAATAAAATAAAAATAATTATTAAATAAAAATAATTATTAAATTTTATTTTGTGATTATGAAATATTTTGATTAATATGTCATTGCGAATCTATTCAAGATTTTAATAAAAAATTACATAAAATAATTTAAAATAAAATAAAATAATTATTAAATAAAATAGTAAAATTTTATATTGATTAATGTTTTTCTCACATTGCATATTTATTTAAGATCATGATAAATGACGATACCGAAGTGATAATTCATTGTGCGAGAGGTAGATGTTTGTGATCTTGTGACTGGAACTTGGGGTTTTAATGACAGCCGGATAATTTCTCACGGCTTCTTCAAAGTGAAACTGCAACTGCAACGCGCCGATGCGGTTTCGTGTCCCTTTTTGCGCAAAGAGAAACATGATTCTCTCAAGGGCCTTCGTCGCAGGATGGTGTTTAGGCAGGGGCATATTTTTCTTCGCCATCTGCAGAGACCGTGGCCAAACACATGCTTTCTGTCATTCGGAAACTTATACCTTTCTAGAGACACTGGGCATCCTTGAAAATGATTATCTTACTTTGTAATGATTAATGAATTTGAGGTGGATTTTTATTATTTTATTTAATAATTATTTTTATTTTATTTTAAATTATTTTGTGTAATTTTTTATTAAAATCTTAAATAGATTTGCAATGACATATTAATCAAAATATTTTATAATTACAAAATAAATTTATCATTTTATTTAATTTTAAAAATGCATGTATAATTTCTTATCGATATTTCTGAAGATAGAGTAACGCAGGGGACAAATTGCAAGAATTATCCAAGGTGATTAAGTATTTTCGTAATTTCGCACGCCTGATTACGATCAAGGTCGGTGTATTTAAAAATGTTATTGCACTCGCGCATACGTCACCATCCTCATTTCCACTCGAGCTCTAGATATTCGCGCGATTCTCATCGATGCCTGCACAACGAAGAATTTTCATTGTATTTGTGGTCGTCTGACCTGTTTCGCACGAGGGTTACAAAGGTCGTCGCACAAAATGTATAATCGCTTCCGTTAATTTCCGTCCGGGATACATATGTGTTCCTTATTTACAGGATCATATATCACACCGATTTTTTTGTAATTAGTAGAACATATGAAAGAAACATATGAAGTATGAACACATTAAATGTTCTGCGATTATAATTGCAATGATCCGATTTAATTTGAAGACTATTCTAAACGAAAAGTCTTTATAAGCGTTGAACACAATTATGTGGTAAAATTGCCTGAGAATAAATTTTGAATTGCGACATACATTAATGCTGCAGTTAAACTTTGAATACGTATCTTCATCGCGATATAAGAAAAGTGGCGTCTTTTTATAGCTAAGTAATAGAAAGCAGCGACGCGGGACCCATATTTTCAAAGCACACAAGTAGTCCCGCAGTTTTTGTCTCGATGAAACCGAGGATTCTCTGTGAGAACCCTGCATACTGAGATATCACACATATTGCAATCGTGTCCAATGCGCAGTGAAAAACTAAACCAGCCGTGGTAACTATGACGGAGTCGCTTAATCGCGCAGACTTTTTTTTGTTACTCGTTTCAGGATTAGGCGGTATGTTTTCAGAGAAGATCTGGATCAATTACCGACTTGCGCGTGAGATCTATATTATTCGCAATTAACACTGAAATACTAGACACGTGAGAGATGAGTTACTTTAAAAAATCATTAAAATTTTTTTAAAATGCTTTTTTGTGCTTTTTTTTTTTTTTTAATATTAATACAATTTTTTTAATATTAATACAATTTTTGATATTAATACAATATTAGAAAAATGATTTTATATATGTTATATTAAAACAATAAGTTAATATATCTCGAGTTTTATGTCTCGTTACGTTTTTTTTAATACTAGGTCTATCCTGACCCTTGCAATATCCGGCGCGGTAGGCCGTGTTTCCGGTTTCTTTACGATTCTACAATGCCCCGTTGGTCTAGATTCTGATAAACCACATTTGTTATCTCAGTCTAAACGTCAAGTTTTGTTTATCGAATTTTATGTATATATTTCTTTTTGCGATAAATTTTTTATCATTATGTCTTTGCTTCTGTCACATATTTAGTTAATATTTGTATTTATAATTCTGACATATTTTTTGAATATATCTCTGATTAATTTTTTTTATAAAATAAATTAGGCTTGCATTGCGAGGACAACCGGAAGTGACGAAATTATCACTGACGTGACACATATGATTGTGTTTGAATTTCGAAAATGTTCATTGTCTCGCGATTCCCTCGGAGCAAAAGCGTTTTTCGCATCGGTGACTCGAAGAAGGCCGAATTCACGACATAGCAGACCTTTCTGATTCACATAGAGATGCTTGTGATTCAAGGACCTGTGGTTGCGAAGTTTATTGCACGTCACATTGGCACACGCCGTCTGATTACACTTATTTAAACTCAATAAATCTGTTCATTTACATTTGAAAATAGTGGCTAGAAAAATAATTTATTTGTGCAGTTTTTTATTGTAATTATTTGCAATAATTTGTAAATATTGTATTTGCAATTCTAATATATATTTTTCAATGTTTTTACCTCTGATTCATTTTTTTTTATAAAATAAATTAGGCTTGCATTGTGAGGACGACAATCGGAAGTGACGAAATTATCATTGATACATATTATTGTGATGATTTTTTTGTCTACATTTTTTAAGATTAACGTGACAGTAAAATTACACATATTGATATTTATTCAAGAATCATTGATCATTAAAACATTCGTATAATCAAATTAATGCATTTTTGAGTGCGCATAATTTCGTGTCGTAATTAGAACGTTTATTTTCCACCGCCAATATTTCGCGGCTGACATTGTCTGTTCTCTTCTCGTTCCGGTTTCTTTATTCACGGAAGGCAGTATCAGAAAGAGCGCACGATAAATGGTGCGTAGCGTTAATTAATACGTGCCGCGTCTCACCCGCATGATGATGGCGCGAGGCAACGTCTTCGTCAAGGCTTTTCACCGTGTGTGGAAGAGACCCCGCATGTGACGAACGGCGGATACACAATAGCCTATAATCAGGATACAACTCATCCAAAGATTTCTGCCCATATCCATGGGGCGTCCGCAGAAGAGGCCATAGGGGGCAATGGCCCCCTTTGGAATCATGAAAAAAATTATTTTTGCATATTTAATATAAAAAAATTAAAATAATTTAATAAATTAAATTTCAAAAAATTAAAAAAAAAAAATAAGAAACAATTCAAAGATCTTTGCCCACATTCATGGGCGTCCGCGAAAGATTAAATTGCCAACTCGAGGGAACATATATTCAAAACAGCATCATTACGTTAAAGAAATGAATTTTTTATCAATGTCAGATGATAGACGTAATCTTTATACATTAAATTAAATAATTTGTTATTTATAATTTTTCATTAACTATATGTACTATATGAGATATGTATATATATATATATATATATATATATATATATATATATTATATATATATATATATATATAGATAATATATATATATATATATATTATATATATTTTATAAATATATATATATATATATATATATATATATTATACTATATAATTATTTTTGCATATTAATATAAAAAAATTAAAATATAATTCAAGAAATTAAATTTAAAACAATTAAGAAAGGAAAAATGAGAAACAAAAATTGTAACTATGTCCCCCATAACGCGGAACGCGCGACAGAGTACAATATAGCCTCTTTCTGGTGGAAAACGAGGAGTCAATTTGTACTTAAGATTCAATCCAGGGACCTGTGGATCGCATATTTGGATACCTTCGATCGATCGGCTCTCCCCGATCCGATTCTGTTCTCCTCTCGTTTTTAACAACTATTTACGAAGGCAATGAACGCGTTCCTTCTGTTACGCCTGAGATAATTATAGATTATTATCTGCTTGGGAGCCCAAAAAGAGATGAACTCTTCTTCTTCTTCTGCTTCTCGGA